AATTTTATGATTATCGGAAAAATAAAAAGACTGCATGCATTAGAACGGCTATTATCAAAATATAAAAACACCATTGTAAATAATATTCTGGCTTGATTTTCAAATCATAATTATATCATCAAATATATTAAATTACCAATACGTATTGCGATACGCATACGCTATACAGACATACAGTCATGTAGACATATAATAGTCAATGATGGAGATAATTTTTCCATTCTCCTCAAATATATTTTGACTATAGAAATGTTTTCTCCGATTCCAAATAACAATTAAATTATTAAAAACAAATCAGAATATCTCGCGTCACCAACGAATGTGACCGATATACGTTCGACTTCTTTTGTATGTGACTTTTCATACATTGCAACTTAAAGAATAACGAAGTCTTACGATGCAACACAATACATTTATTTATTTGTTTTGTTATTATTAGAATATTCGTCGTTTTTCATTTTATTTGATTWTCATTCAATATTGTTACCTATACATATTATGCCTAATTACTAATTAKTAATTGTAATGGACATGATAGTGAGACTTTAAATATGACGAGAATGCAAGACAAGCGGACTAATGGGTAGTGCGTTCTAATCAATGCTTTTGCTAGTAGTAATCCACGCGCCGATTTGAGCAAAGCGAAAACGTTGTCATTTTCTTCGATGCATTTTATCAAGGTCAATGTTATCGTATTATTAACAGAGGTAATTAATAATTAGAGTGTGAACTTAACCACACACACAAGTATAAAAATACTGTCGAAACATGGTGGCGGCATCGGCGTGCGGTCGACCTATTGTGATTTCTATATCCACAAGCAGGGCCGTATTTAGGGGGGGGGGAGCTACAGGGAACTGTTGCCCCGAGCGGCTGAGTAGGAGAGGACGGCTAATTTTTTTATAATTTAAATTTGTATTTTGTATAATGATTAATGAGGCGTATTATTTTTGTTGCCCCTTGGTGTCAAATTCCTAAATACGGCCCTGTCCACAAGACTAAATGCCTGCGCCATTCTTCATGACTGTGTGAAGCAACGTGTGTTTTATTATTATTATATTAATATATATAGGTGTGCAGCAGGTGGTCAGGTTAGACGAGATGGAAAACGAGCAAAATGTCAGACGTCATGTTCTGTCTTTCGCGTTTTCATAGTAGGTCGTGCGATACGTTCGTAGGAATTCGATATAATAATCGTTATAAATATTATTTTTCAATTCAGCTCYGTTGACTTTACTTCGGGGCGTAGAAAAACATAAATCAATTTAGGCGCAACTATGCAATATTATAAATTGTTGTTATTACTCACCTACTATAGACAGGTGATGTCCCGTGGGTAAATATTCGGTGGKAGAGGTGGGGAATGGAAGAGAGACTGAAAATGTTAAGTACCATAATTATAATATGATTATAATAGCAGGGACCGGGTTTGAATGGAAATCACATTTTTCGAGAATGTTTTGAACATTACTTTCCAAGCAAAAAGTTCATTTSGTACASCAAGGAATTAAACAATTTAAATTATATTTTGCATTTTATTACATTCTTAGATTTTTTTAATTTTTAGAGCAGTTTATAATATTTTTAGTGAATTTTGATGTTTTTTGGTCATTTTAAAAATTTAATCTGAATTACCTTTATTTGTTTTTTTAAACATTTAAAGGTACTATAGTAAATTAATACTTTAATGTTTTATTTTTTTGGTTTCAGATTCAATATCACTTATGAATATCAATATGTAAATTTTTTTTAAAGGTATCTATGATAAATTATATACCTAGTTCTATATAATCGATCTAATGATGACAGATGTTTTGCTCAATCTTATCGACAGACGGACAACATATCTACATTTAGTTGGACATTTTAGATTAAATGCTGTTGCAATATCTTAAACCCCACAGATTTATAATTATTAYGTTATATTATTATATTATTATTTTGTGTCATAAGAAATTTATTTTTGAATTTGAAATTTTAATGAAATTATGTATTTAAATTTTAAATGATGAATAACAATT